GGGGGGGGGGGGGGGAGGAGGGGATCGCTCGATCATCACGTTCCCGATACGCGTAGTTCGCGAGACTCCACAGAGCCCCGTTCTCGAATCGCGGGAGAGCGGCGCGTTTCAGTGCGACGGTGATTTTGGAAAACCCGACGCCTATGAGGTGGCAGGAGATCGCATAAGAGACAACGTCCGCTCGTCGTCTTTTCGACGAGCGAACGAGCCCGTGGTACTACAACGTGGCAGCTCCGCTGCTCTGCAAGCGGAAGCCATGAATCTTTATTAAATCCACGAAATTTATGTCGAAGCGGTCGCGTGGCTCGTGAAACGTGTGCCGCGACGATGCCTCGAAAGGGTATTTATCTCTCCCCTCGTTCCTCGCCCGCCCGCAACGTGCGCGCGATCCCGGCTTGCTTCGCCCGTTCCCATTGTGTAATGCGCGCGCTCCGCACACGCTCGTGTGTATGTATCAGACGTAATGTGTGACAATCCTTTTTTATTTTCGCCGACGCGCCGCTCATTCGTTTGCTCTCTCTCTCTCTCTCTCTCGCTCTCGTTCTCGCCGAACGAGTAATCACGAGTCCGCGAGGCAAATGGACGTGATATTTAATTTGATGCGGTAAATAGCTGCCTCCGCGAACAGACTCTTTCCGTTTCCGAGCTCGTCCGCATAGTTCCCGATTAAAGCCGCCTGAACCGCGCGATCCCGCGCCGCGTTCCCGAGAGCTTCTCCTCGTCGTACCGATAATCGTCGGCGAGCAACATTGCTCATCGGATGACGATGACGGCGATTGTTCGCAGAGTTCTCCGGGGACTTGGACATTTTTCGATGCGAGCGCGACAACAGGACTCCCCCCGCTCCCCGATCGTCCGTATTTCGCGCGCCGGCCTCTCTTTAGACGGCGATATTATCATAATGATTTATTTCGATCTTTTCGCCTCTGCGTGCCGGCGGTTATTGCGACCATAAATCCAGCCGCTTCCGCGATGTTTGATATCCGACCTGACCTACGCTCGTCTTTCGCTTTTCCATCTTCCGCGCGCGCCTGCGGAATTTTCCGGATGTTGCCGCGGGAATATAATGAAACTTTCCTAATCAACGTCCACCCTGTCGTGTCGCTTTCCTCGTCGTTGCACGCTCCCCACGAATGTTTCGCCGTTAAAGAACACTTTTGTTATCTGCCTCCGCGTACAGTACTATCTGAGTATCTTATTTGCACGTCGTATCAGACGTAACGACGGGAGATTCTATCGGCGGCACAGATCGGCCGTACGGAATTAACAATCTTACGGGGAAAAAATTCGATCTTATCGGCGGAACGAATCGCTCAAGTTCGTTTCACCTGCGCTCACCGCGACAAGCTCGATCAGAATACGATACAGTTCCGTCGAAACGCTCCAGCGACTCGGTGATCCCCTGCACAATTATCGATGTCCCGAATCCCGTTAATTACCACCGCGCCAAATTTACAACGACCCGAATAAAAGTAAACGCGACAGGTGACGACGCGCCGGCGGCGAACGGATTCACCGATCTGTGCTCACACGGTAAGTGCCGTCGAGCGTGCGTCTATCTGTTATCTATCACACTCGCGCGGGGGTTAAGCGGCAATTACCGCTGACAATAACACCAACGACGGCCAAAAATGGAAAACGCTCTGTATCTGCCTTTGAGTCACGGCGTGAGCGTAACCGATAACGAGCGCTCGTTAATTAGCCCGAGCGCACGAGTACGCGCGCAAACGCTCATTGCCGCGATCCGACACGGCGCTACCGAGGAACTTGGCCGTTATTACGAGAGATGCATAAATTCCCGACTCGCGCGCGCGGGAGCCAATAAACTTGATCACATTTAAATGACGGGCGGAAGAATCGGGGTAGCTTGTGTTCGTCTTGGCGGCGAAGCAACAGCTAGTGGAAGCGGTTTACAGGGACTCAAGGAGGGTGGGACGGTCTGAAGAAGAACGGGGGAGAAAGAGAGAGAGGGGGGTCTACTACGGGAGGGGAGGAAGAGTGGGAGGCGGACGATTGATAGGAGAGAACGGGAAAACGCGCGACGGGAAGAGAGAGATAGAGAGATAGGTATGGAAAGAGACGGAGCAGCCACGTCTGCCGTAGCGGTAAAAGCCGCCGGTGGCGGCGGAGACGGTGGCGGTGATGCTCCAGCGGTGGTGGTGGTGGTGCTGTTCCCCGGTGGTGGTATGTGTACCACCGCGCGCGTTTTAACTCACGGGGGAAAACTGTAAGAGCGGGTGCGCGAGAGCTCGAGCGCGGGTGCGGACTTCAGTCGCGTGCGACGCGCGCTCCCGGTCGCCACGGTCCATGAACTTCGACCTCGATGCGACCGTCACCGTCGCGGGATCGGGAGGATCGCACAAGACGAAACAAGAGCTGACGCCGACGTATCACTCTCATATGCGCGTCTCGGTCGCTAATTAACGAGCGCTCGTTATCGGTTTCGCCGGAACTTCGAAGAGAGACACGAGAGAGAGAGAGAGAGAGATACGCTCGCTTGCCTGCTTTCTTTCTTTCGTCTTTTTTTTTTTTTTCCAGCACGGTGTTACAACGAGCGACATGTGTGCGTGGAATTGAGTTACCGTTTGCGGGTTATTAACGGCTCGCGCGATTCCGCTCGGCGGAGTCGTTCCTGCAAATTGAATCGGCGCGGTGCGAAAGCGCGCCTCGGGTCGTAATTAAGATCAAGACGCGGAGGGGGTATCCGCCCCCTCCCCCGTGGGTAGCGTGTCGCGCGAAAGATGATACGGTACAGGCGTTAAGTTCGAGAGAGATCGCGATCGATCTGGCGCGGGGTAACGTGATGAGAGCGCAGGTGAGCCGCCCTCCGATTCCGCGGAATCAATTTCACGAGATCAATGAGACGGAGCGAGATCCGCGCGACGAGATTTGATGAAACGATTTACGTCCTGCCGGCGTGTCCTTGCCGGCCGAGGAAATTGCAATTAAAACGCGGGTGAAAAACTTCGGCGTGAAAGGTTAGAGGAAGGGCGGTAGAGAGAGAGAGAGAGAGGAGAGGGGGTGGAGGAAAAAGGCGCGGAAAGTAGAAGAGCGCTTCGCGGACAATAATATTCGTTATCGAGCGAAAAAGGAGAGTACCAGAAACGAATTCACCGGCATTGAAAAGTTCGACACTGCGCGAATAAGAATATCACGTTTGACTCTCGATCTCTAATGAGAGATAAAGTGGAATTCCCTAACTTGAGAGTCGCTTCTCGTTCCTTCTGTCTTTCTTCCGCCCATCCCTATCCCCCTCTTTCTCTTTCTCTGTCTAACTCGCGCTGAATTTTCCCTCCTCCTAAAATCTCGCGGTAACATCGCTCAGCTGTGTGTGTGTGAAACCGACAAAAGCCCGCAGTGATCTACGTTCGACGGCATGGATTGACATGAGCGAAACATTTCGCGGGACACACACAAGTGCGACGTGTGCCGGCATTTATTAAATTCACTCGATCTCCGCCGGAAATTGGCGGAGGGCGATCGGCGGAGGAAGCGAGTGAAAGCGGTGCCGATAGATCTCCGTCTTGGAAAAATTATTGGCAATTATGAGGGACAAATTTGCGTTCAGCGTAAGTATCGTCTACGTACACATTATGATTCATTTTGATTCCGGTAAGCACCAACTCACAGTAACATTACAACGATGTTATTTCACACAGCATACACTGAGAAAAATATATTTGGTATTTGTGCCTATAATCATCATAGTGAAAGAATTATAATCAGGAAAACCATTTCACTATAGTATCAGTGATAACAATCTTATATGCATATTATTATTATTATTGTTTTTATGATTCGCCTGGGATCATTTAGACTCCAATTAAAAGTCGTTATTATTACCAAAATATAGCATATTACCGACGAAAGTCGTTATTATTACCAAAATATAGCATATTACCGATTGTTCTATGATTTATTGTTAAAGGACATTATAAATATAGATTTTCTCGCTTTACTTTTTGAAAAAAATGAGGAAGAACCAAGAAAATATTTAAGAAACGAAATAGGCACATCAAGCACATGTTCGTAATCGTTTATATAAAAAATAAAATAAAGTGACTATTCCCTTAAAACTATAAAAAGAATGTAAGGCCGAAAGTAGCTATAATTATATCCTCTCAATCGTTTATCCTGCGGACATTCAGATTTCCAAGGACATCTTAAAGACGTCTATAGTACATGCCTGGATAAAATGTGCTGCGTGGATATAATTTCCCATGCAACAATGTAACTGTTATGTACAACTCACGTTATATTGCATTTACATTGTTGAACGAGAAATTGTAATATTGATGTGATGTTACTGTTAGTATGCGTTTATTGAGTACGTCTTTTTCTTACGAATTCATAGGTGAGGTGATTGGGAAACGAAGAAGAAAGTATCATATTTTCGTTTGCCCCTTTGCCACATTCCACTCGTTCGTCTCTGACCGATACAGCGATAAGATCCTATCTCTTTTAATAATTTACGGACATCGTAGAGACACAGTAGTTCTTACAGTGCAGCCGATAACCACGGGACATTTTAGAAATACTGCCAGCGCAATACGTCTCACGTTTCTCTTACTCCTCCTCCTGCTAATCATTAACCGTTGATCTCGAATGAAACCAATAAGAACATCGCACGTAACTTGCGACTATCGACAAATAGGACGAGATGCGCGAACGACTACCATCCGAGATCACAGGTCACGGAGATTGTACATTCTTTCTTCCTCCGCTTCTGTGGTCAATCACAAACGTCATTTCGCGCAGCGCACCGTGAGCTCGCTGAATTCTTTATCGCCGCACTGCGTGTCCACCATATACTTTACACGTATTTCTCAGGATGTTTAAGTGTCTCACGTCAGCGCGAGATAGCGAGGAGAACTAACGCACTTTATCGCGAGCACGACTGATAGCTAATAACTAATGACCTCTCTCGTTGTTGATGTGATTTCCAGTCGGGAGTGCCGGACATGCACGAGACCCTGTCTAGCTTCCCGGAGCAGTTCGGGGACGGGCCGAGGAAGCCGGAAATCAAGCCGGAAATTCTGAAGGAGACGGATAGGACCGCGGACAATCTCAAGTGCGGTTGGTTCTGGTTCAGGCCGCTTTACTTGCAGCGATTTCGCACCGCGAAATGGGCGCTCTTCTGGCTCTGTTGGGCCGGAGCTATGCAAGGTACACGGTTTCTATAGACGCTGTTATTCTTTTTTTTTTCTTTTTTCTTCACACGGCTCGACAGTGCGTTCGAATCGCCCGACCTGTCGCGAGAATCCGAGTGAAGCGAGTGCCGCCGGTCGTCTCTGAAAACGCAGTTTTTAATAATAGTGCTGTGAAGAGAGGACTAGTCGGCGAACCCGCTTCGCGGCTCACCCCCCTTCGAGCCCGTCATTAGCATCGGCGCGTTGGTGCGTAAAGCGTTAACTCTCCTTCGATCAGCCGAGATTAGACGCGAGTGTCAGGGACGCGTGTATTTTCACCCCGGCGTTGTCCCCCTTCGCCGCGCCGATGGAATCGAGCGACTCTCTCTCTCTCTCTCTCTTTCTCTCTCCTCCGTGCCTGAACGCATAATTTCGTGGTAGCGTTTGACGCGACGTTACCGTTTAGGCAGCGCTAATAGCCGTATGTTCGAATGCAATTTCGGGGGCTTTCACAGGCGCTACCGGCGGAGGGCCGATGACTGGCGATAACCGGAAATCGAGTTTGTCGGACCGATGTCAACCGTTTCGTATTTACGAGGTGTGTACAGGTGGAGAAGCAGAGAAAGAGAGGGAGAGAGAGAGCATGTAGGAAAGAAGGAGGAAGAAATATGTTAACGGATGAACATAGGCCCGGACGAGATAAGAAATCTTAACGACGCGCGCGTCGGGCATTATTTTTCAAGTTTTCAGTGCAACGGCCGTTCGTGCCGGGCGTGCTTCCACGGGATTAGAGTGTATCTGTTAAATGCGTCCTAAGGGGCACATTTTACCCCGAGCGGTCCGTGCGATACAGCGGAGACTAGCGAAAGAAACATGACGCATTGTAGTGCCGTCAGTGCGCCTCCCGCAACCACCACGTACGACACTGGATGAATCCAGAGGAGCGCTATTTACAGACACGCTCCGGCGAAATATTCCGCGCGTCCCGAAACCGAGAATACGGCACCTAATAAATACGCGATCCGTTTTCCACCGGGGTATATCGGCGGCACGAGTCGCCGTGTACACGAAGGAATCTTATTATTGACACTTTGACGGGCGCACTTATCTTGTATAAAACTTTTCCACCCGCCATCTAAATTTCGAGAACTCATTTGGACGGTATCTCGAGAGACATCTTCCTTGCCTATAAATTTTTATAAATTTATCATTATATGACTCTTATCTTATCGCGTTATAATATTACAATTTTTGATATTACAATTACGAACTGTTATATTGTCGGCAAATATTTCTTGAAATAAGGGGATAAATGTCAGCAAAATAAAATTACGCGTAGAGCGCGGGACGTCAAAGTATTTAGTTTCGCAACGCTTCTTTAAGCTCATATTGCGCAACAATAGAGCGTTTTTTCAAATATCGTGTTTGTCCCTTTAACCTCGAGCCACCGTTTAAAACCGTCATATTACCGTCATATAAACCGTCGCCAATATTTATAATCGGATCTTATATTTAAGACCGTCTTAAGTTCATATTGATGTTTCGTAATGAAATGCGATACAGCATCTGAAGATAAACTTAAGACAATTTTAAATATAAAATCTGACTATGAATACCGGCCGTAGTGAAATATTATATACCTATAAAGAGTGTCCTGTTTTAATGAAAACAGCAGAATATCTAGAAAACTAAGGATTGCAGCCAAAAATATTTAAAATGAAAGTTACATGAGGGGAGGAGAATTTCGCGAGAGACATATGACGACATTATTTGCTTGATCTTTAGTGACTTCTCTAAAGTCACTTGAAGGTTACTTTTAATTTTTTCAGTAGAATTATATAATTTTTTTTAAATGAATGAATTTATCTGATTATTCTGTGTTTAAAAATATTGAAGTAAAATGATCGAAAAGTAAATACTTTTCGAAATATTATATGTGTTATCCTGATATTTTTTAAAATAAGATGTGAAACATCTGCTAAACTATTCACTTTTCGGCAGTCTCACATTACTATTTTTTATAACTTTATAATTGTATATTTTTTTTTACAACAATCGACTCCTTCAGTTATTTTACATTCAAATGTATTAAAATAAAATTATCGTAAAGTGCATAATTTACAAGATATTTCACATCTCCCATTCAAAAATATCAGGACAAAACAAAATAAATAAAATGTAAAATAATAAAATATAAAATATCTCGGGAAATATCCATTGTCCGATGATTTAACTGCAGTACTTTTATACGAAGATGATGATCGGAGAAATCAATTTATGTTAAAAAACTATATAATTCTATTAAAAACATTAAAGGTAACATTCACATGACCTTAGCGAAGTCATTGCAAGATCACTAAAGGTCAAGCAAGTAATATCATCCTACGTTCTCCTCGAAACTGTACAACTTTGATTTGAAATATTTTCGGCTACGATACTTAGTTTATAATATTCAATTATTTCCATTAATAGGAATTGGAACACGCTGTGTATAATTCACTATGTATTCAACCATCACACAATTGTGATGGTGGATTACTGGGATCCATGAGAGAGAATTATTTTTTTAATGATTTTTCCCCAAGATCACTGCAAATTCAAGCGTATATTTTTACACGTATAAATATCTAAAAATGACACATTTAACTGAAGCTCTTTTTACACCGTTTTTCTTACCGTTTTACGTTATTTAATCATGTTAATTTATAAGTTATAACACATCCAATCGTGTTAAATGATGTGATTCAAAACGGTAAGAAAAACCTCAGCTAAAATAACACACTTGGACTTGCGATGATTTTAAGGTAAGATTTTGGAGGGAAAGTAGCTCAAAAGTTTCCATGTAAAAAACATTTGGAGTCTTAAAGGATTACAGTGATCACATATAGCTTCGATTTCGCGACGATCGCGAAATATCGTATTCGATCGTAGGATAAACTGCGCGGTTCCGAATGGCGGATATCGTGAGATTGATCCCGCGCGGGATACAGTCGGGTTTGTTGAGCGCGTGTATTCGTTGTTCCAGGAATGGTCGTGAATGGTTTTGTAAACGTCGTCATAACGACAATAGAGAGGAGATTTGGACTGAAATCGTCGGAGACCGGCTTGATAGCGGGCGGTTACGACATCGCCAGCTTCCTCCTCCTCGTGCCAGTAAGCTATCTCGGCGGCCGTTCGAAAGCGTCGAAACCGAGGTACGAAGGCACCGTGCGCGCGCGTGTGTCGCCAAAGCGCCATTGTCTTATGCATTAATATTAATACCGATATCGCCTCTGCTCGACGATTCTCATAAATATTAATCTTAACGTCAGTCCGTCCGACATTGTCGGCGTTAATCTCCATCCCGTTTCTTTGCCACGCCATCGTAACTCTCCAAGCTCGTAATCGATAATCAATAAACCGCCGGAGATCTTAAACTTTCGCCACGCAGCGAACGCGATCAGCAACGATCGACTTTTCGGAAAGAAAATCTCTCTCATTTTGCTTAATTTAACAAGATAATATATACTGCTATATATTCGTTAAAATGTCCGATTTTTGCCGCTCTTATCGAGTCCAACTGCAAAATATAGAACGACGTATAGTATGTCGCGTCGGCGAGTTTTCCACTGGCTGCAATTCTAACCGGACACTCCGAAATATTGCAGATACATAGGCTTGGGAGTTCTAGTCTTAGGTATAGGAAGTCTGCTTTTTGCGACGCCACATTATCTCGCCGGACCGTACAGAGGAGGTCAGCAGACGGAAAACGTATGCCAAAGTGCCGCCAATACCTCGAGTACCCGTTCGGTAAACTATCGTCATTAACTTGTCAGACCATTATTTCATAATTGTTTTAGGTTTTTTTCACCATTTTTACCTGCTATTTTCACTTTTATTTATTTCACGTATTTATTTCTTTATTTATTTTTATTATATATTTATATTTATTTATAGCTCACTGTTTTCCCTAAACTGATTTACAAAATCTTAGAATTTATCTGTAATCTATTTATAATCTTTCTACGACCCTAATTTTGTGTTAAATTTAACACATTTCAGATGAACGGTCTATTCAAACTTTTGTGTTAATTTAACACAAGGTGAATACGTTGAAAAGTAATATCATGTCCAAAGTTAACACTAAATTCATACCACGCTGAAGTATAAAATGTGTTATTTTAACATATATGTTGAATGTCGACACAACGAAAAATGTTGAGATAACATAAACACGATATGTTAAATTAATACGCAGGTATGCAATATAAAACTTAACACGAAAATTTTAACAGACTGATTTTAACACAAGTACAAAATATTGTGTACTATGTAGAAATTATTATTACGGGAATGCGTATCCGAGTTTTTCATTTGTGCTGCATTCCGTTTGTTATTCCAACACGACTACCCTAAAGCGGGAAGATACGCTCGATTACACTTCCCATATTCGCAGGGGATCCCGGTCGTAGAATAATGAACATACAAGCGCGTAATAAGAAGTTATTAATCGAAGCTCGTTTATAATTGCTTTCTTTTCCCCGTCCAACTCCCGACATCCATTTACCGTAGTTCGCGTAGTTTCACCACCGGCGACCTGCTTGATTTATCAATATTTCGGTCACTTTCCCAGATATCCTGCGCGGGATCTGCCGTTCAAGCGGAGCTAGAGCCTTACGGTGGCGTGTACTTAACCATATTTCTGGTAGCTCAGCTGCTACATGGCGCCGGTGCGGCACCCTTTTATACGCTCGGGGTTACGTATCTAGACGAGAACGTCTCGAAGAAGATGTCCTCGGTGTATCTAGGTAAGACGCGCTACCGTTTTGCGATGCGGATGCGCTTTTAGCCTATCGATTTTCTTCGATTTTAACGCGACTCGTGAAACGTGTCGGCAGGTATCTACTACACTATGGCCATAATAGGACCCGCGTTGGGCTACGTGGTCGGAGGTGAATTATTGAAGGTCTACACGGACTTCTTCACGGTGGACTCTTCGACGTAAGTCGATATTTTTTTGTAAAGCACACACACACGTACACATTAACGCTCCGATTTCTCGGGCTTCAAGTTCCTTCCCCGTTTTCATTCCGTCCGCATTGTATCGCATCAGCGCATCGCTTCCTCCTGTTTTCACGTCGATTTATTATCAGTCGTTTGCAATGTTAGCCTTAAATGACTTTAGATTCATCTAGATGAAGATGAGATGAAAATCAGACAAATTCATCCCAGATAAGATAATGATGATTTTGCTTTTAATTTATCTAGATGGAAGATAAGTAGTGCTACTTGTATACATCATTTTTTATATGATATTGTTTTCATGAGAGATCATTTTTTATATGATATTGTTTTCATGAGAGCTTTATACAAATTTATAATAAAAACTACGCAGATCATAAAATTGCACAACGGTTGAGTAATTCGTTAACGTAATTGCTCTAAATTTAAGGATCTAACAAGAAAGACCAATAACCATTGACTGCTCACTAGTCGCTGTGTTTTCTGAACACAGTCATTATCTCAGTTTTCTTCTATAAAGCCCGTATCAAACTACTGACTGTGAAGACCTATCCGATTATCGGTTATGACTGCCGATTTTTGAAGGGCCTATCATAATGAAGCATCATGTAATTAGTCTATTGTGATTGGTCCATTAAGAATTGATTTGGGCAGTTTGATACAGGCTTAAAGTGGATTGATCAATTGAAATAAATGGTCTGTTCTTTTTAGTTGCGCTGCTGAACTGGTGCAATAAATTAGAGACAAGTATATTTTATCTCGCTCTAACTTATTGCACCAGTTCAGCAATGCAGCTAAAAAGAACAGACCAAAAAGACAAAACCGAAATTTGTCGATTCGTTAAAATCTAATCTCCAATTCCTAGTCCGATATGGGCTTAACACATAAGTCCGTATTATTTTATTTATTTGATCGGAAAGTGAGTTCAGAATATGGACTATATGTCACTTCAGATCATTTTTAGATGAGATAACGTGTTTTTTTATCTAAGATAAAGATGAATATATTTTGTATTTCTCCCATCTAGATAAAGATAAAGATGACCTATTTATTCATCTAGATTATTTAGATAATCTGATCTAAATACCGGCAAACGCTGGTCATCGTTGATCCCGTCGAGCGTGTGATGCGAGAATCAGCCTTTTTACGCGGTGTCTTCAGCCGCGAAACAGAGCGACGACGAGCGAGACGAGAAAGATGGATATTCTATTTGCGAAACATATTGCCGACGAGTGTCGTAGTCGTTGAACGAAAGCGGAGTAGAAACGTGTAAACGGTCGTGCCATCGGAATTCGTCGCTTCCCGTTGTCACGTTAAACGCGTTTTCCACTTTTTTTTTTACCCCTGATAACACGCGGGAACGTTTAGTCACGCGTCAGCGGCAACTTTATTAAATTCTCGCGAGGATTTATCGGCCGTTTGCGCCGATCTCTCCCGGACGGTATATACGCGCACACGTGACCGTGTGTGCGTGTGTCTGTGTGTGTATGTGTATGTACGTGAGCGACGATAACACGCGTGTCGACGTGCGGTTTCGACGGAATAACTCGCCGATCTGATGGTATGCAAATGCGCGCATATTCGTCATTTCGCCACCAGCGTTCGAGTGATGCGCGCGCGTTTGATCGTTTTGTAGGAAATTTGATATCGATGGCGAGATTCTCCCGGTAATCAAGCACCGGTTAAATATCGCACTGGTAATCGGGCTTTGATTCGATTAACTGATCTCTGCGTAAGTAATTATCGAACGATGCAACGATAACCGCTCCAGCGCTTCGTTGCATGTGTGTACGCATGCACGTACGTGTGTGTGTGTGTACAGGCGCATGTGTGCGTGTATGTGGATACGCGGGTATTCGATAGCCGAGAAAGGAGATTCATCCGAGAGGGGTATAAAAAAACCGTGAGGACACGTGCTTCTTGCGACGCACCCGGCGCCGTTAAAAATATTCCGCGGGACCATTAGAGCATATAATGGGCCGAGATTAATAGTGCGTGTAACTCGGCGCCGATATATATAATATATATCCCTTGGGGAAAATGTCAAGCGGTGAACCAATGTTTGACGATGACGGCGATGTTACCCTTCAAAACTGTCGGTTCATCCCCCGGCACTTAGGACACAATCAACTTCCATTTGTCTACGCGTCTCCCCGCCCTTCCGCCGCGCGCCCCTTCGTCGACCGTTGAGTCACCGTGCCGTGCGCGAATCGAATTAATCGTTAGTCGAACCGACGCGATTTTTTTCCAAGCTGAATACCTGCGCGCGCGGCAAATCGAGTTTCGTCGATGTTCGACATAGCGCAAGATTTTTCGGGAGGATCCTACCCGGCGTCTGCGGAGCGTCTGGACCGGCGCTCGATAAAAATCGATCGTTCGTTTCCGAGTTACCGTTCCTCCTCCGAGCTTCCTCGGAAATCTCATTCGGCTACGTGAAACGGAAAGAAAAATAGAACAGATGTAGAGCACGATGCCGGTTTTGCGTTGCTTTACAACGGCATTTTCGCGGTTGCAATTACACCGCTTCTCTCTCTCCCTCTCTCTCCCCCCTTGTCTCTCCCTTTTTTCCTCGTGCGAGAAGCGTGAATTTCGAGGAAAAGGACGGCGAAGTAAGGTGAAATTATTCGCGTAATAGGCACTCCTAGGCTACGCCGCGCGTGCGCGCACGAGAGGCGCTCGTGTATGCGCCGCGTTTAATTTCGCGGGTAAATGAAAAGTTCCGCCGTAGAAACAGCGGCAGATGCAGCTGGCCGAGTCGGACGGAGGTGAACGACTCCTCTACGCGACTACTTTTTCCGGTTTTCCGCTTTCTCACTTTCGAGTTCCTTCCCACGATAAGTTACACCGTATAGTCCCTCTCGCGCGCGCTCGCGTGCCGCTCTTCTCGGGAAGGATGGGATCGAACGTTATTCAAATCGTTTTCGCTTTCCCGGATGTCGATTCCTCCTCCGGATTCCGCACCGGAATCGTCCGTAGATTCCCGATTCTCTTTCGCATGCTCTCTCGCCGCGTAACCGCAACGCTCCCGAGACGCGTTCTCATCGAGCGCATGTTTCCATAAATCGCGCTCGATCGGAATTTACGGCGCTCGCCCGAATATTCAACGACGACACTCTTGTTATCGGCATTAATATTTATACGCGGATAATACGGCTCGCGCGCGCGCGCGTGCTTCCGCTTTGCGAAATCTCTCGTCGCGTGCAGAAACCAAAACCGGCGGAAGCGAGCGATCCTCCTTCTTCGTTCACGAAGTAAGCATTCTTCCCTTCGCTGTATTTCCGCTACCGATCGATCGATAATTACACGCTGCGGGATCTGTTCGGGCCCGTCACTATGCGTCGTGCCTCGACAAAATTACTGGAGTTTTGTCCGGTTGAACGGTCGTGCGCGGGAGCCGCGCAAAGGAGACCTTTTCCGGAGTGTATCTCGTACCGGCAATTAGTCGGAAAAGTTACGTAAGCTTTACCGCGGCCCCGGAATTCCCAACCGCGTGAAATTAAAAGCGCGTAAACGAAATCGCCGCTCGCGAAGGAGATCGGTCCGGGAAGATTCCGAGATAATTAGTTCGAACCAGACGTTAATACGCGGATCGCAGATGCGAGAAAAACCGCAGATGCGGGTGAAACTTGAAACCTTTCGCGGATAGGTGCGCGACTTTTTCTCGTTGGTCGTTTCTTTTTTTTTTTTTTTTTTTTNCCATTCGCGCTGATTCATTCGGCCAAGATAATCCGAATTAAAATTTTAGTCCTACATTAATCTAACGAATTTCATCGAAGTATCAATGGAAAATCTCGAGGTATAACACCTAGGATTATACAAGCTATTGTCCTATCGTGATGCTACAAATGTTTGCCTATGGACTATTTCTACGTGTACATGTAGAAAATACATAGTGCATCCAAACAAATATTACTTGTTTCAAATATTTGATAAGTTTATATGTCCGCAAATATATTATAAATTCAATCATGAGCAGCAAAAATTTATTCAATACATATATGTATATTTTCCCCTGTAGTAAGTTTATATTTCAATCGAAAGTATTAAATTGAAGCAAAACTTCGATTTACTTATTCAAATTAACCGAATTTAACTTTTCTTCAATAAATTTTATAATATTCTCAAAAAGAGAACAAATTCTCTTTTTGAACGATAATTGAACGATAATTTCCTAAAATTTGTGATGAATGTATTTCAAAACTATTATCAAGAAAATATTCTTCATCGTAGATAACGATTACTTAAAAGAATGAAAATAATCTTAGTAATCGTTTTTCTTAGCAGCAGAATATTTTTCTCTTTTTAAGCTTAAGGGACGATTATTCAAGAATTATTTAATATTCGATTATCTCTGCGTTTTAAAATCGCTATTTGAATCGTATCAGAGATTTACGAAGCTTCAATTATCCGTTAAATGATGACGGGCTATAAACGCGCATGCCGCCGGCTTAAATTTCGACTCGCGTATCCTTTTATTCTCGGTAAACTTCCTGTATAATAAATGATCCGGCATACCTGGAAATATGCGCTGCACCGTTGCTCGCGTTCCGGCGTCCCGTGTCCTCCATCCTGGCTTTCAGATTCAGTATCCCGATTCTGGGATTTTGCTTCGTCGCGGTACTCCGGACATTCACTCGTGGCACTGACGCTCGCGTAGGTACGATTCAATAGGAGATACGCGCGTTAATTAACGCGGTGCCATCGAGAGTCTGAATATTTCAAGAGTCGCCGAAATATTCCGATCACTCGCGAGGAATGATAACTAACGCACCGACGCACGTATGTGCGGTATATGGATCGCTCGCCGGCTCGAAACGCAATGTAGCGCACGAAGATAACACCGACTAAAAGATTCTGTATGTTTTGAGGGTACTGATTGTTGCGGTTTCTCTCTCTCTCTCTCTCTCTCGGCCGTTCAATGAGGGGCAGCTGGCGCTTGGCGTGACACGAGCATTTTTCCCAATTGTTTTGACATTCTCTCTCGTGTCACACAGCAGTTTCCGCGAGTGTTACGTTTCGAGTCGACAAGCAATGCACAGCCCTGTGTAGTATGTATCGTATTGGTGTCCCTTAGATGATTCCTATCGAGCGATCAAAATATTTCGATTTTTGAAATATTTAATCGCCCCATCGGCATCGCGTTAATGAACACGCGTTTACCCGGTCGAATCGAATTTACACTATCAACTAACTAGTGTCAGTGTCATGTGTGAGGGAGTATCCGAAGTGCCACGGATTAACCAGGAACCAGGATGCTGGATCGAAAAATCGAGATAAAAGACGTAGATTACGGGAATGCCGGTATGTGATACGTTATATATATTTTTTCAGATATGTCTAATTTTATATTGAAGAGATTTCTGATTTTAACGAACGTTTAATGGACTTATATATCAGAGTCGAAATTGAGATATTATATTTGACAAATAATTATAGCTTAATGAATCTCTTGAATCGTTTGACCTATATTTGTACTTATTACATTATTTCATACAAGAGAAACACATTGATCCGAACAACCGAATAACGATCCTATAAAAATACGAGGTTGCAATTAATTGCGCTCTCAATCGAAGATCGTACATAATTTACAATTATGAACACTAGCTTTAAAATCTAGTGTAAATTCTTTAATCTCTTTGAGCTTTAAATCTTGTTAGAACTTCCAATATTAATAAAAAAAGTGTAAATTTAAGAATAAGGAAAATTTATCGTTTAATGTACCCTTAATTCCGTTGTTTATTAGCCATATCATTTAATATTTGATTATTTCATGTTTTATTTGTAGTTAAAGAAGTTAGTTAATATTGAGCTAATTTTTTAAATATTAAATATAATTGTAAAATAAACCTTTTTATTAAAGTCTACATAAACATGAAGAAAACGGCCATGTGTATATATATATATATATATATATATATATATTATATATAGTAATATATATACACATATAATATGTAATAGTAAATATTTACAATAGTAAATATTTATAGTATCAAGTTGGACAATAGTAAATCTTTCAATTTGTACAATCTGTATAATCTTTCTATGTTGAGATTCTCCATTGGTTTTAAAACTGGATATAATTTACAAATTTAATGTAAAACCATAATTTTAACTTGGAGAAAGTGAGCTTATTTGGAGTAGCGTGAACTAATTAACCGTTCAGTTTTGTTGTCGAGTACTCGTGCCCATCATTATTTCATGAAAATACTCGAAATAGAAAATCGAAGTCTCGGATCGCAGATGGAACGAATTCTAAATTTATTTTCACCTAAATCCACTTTTATCTCCTCGAATTTTCATCTTCGATAAAAGTTACCCACTAGACACAAGGACTCGTCGGTAATCGAACGAGCACATTGAAACTTAAAAATATCGAATTACAGGATTGGGCTAACTCCCGACAGTAACGTTTGGATTGGCGCGTGGTGGATCGGTTTCTTGGCAGTGGCTGTCATTTGTTTTATCATCGCGGTGCCTGTTTTAGCATTTCCGGCGGCTCTGCCAGGTACGAATATTACCGCGTAATTAATGGAATCTATCGAATAACTGCGGGACGAATTTTGATGTGCCGAATTGAAGGTGCAAGTATGACTGAACGTAACCGATGAAATCGATAATTCTTCGCAGGATCAGAGGAACTAGCCAAAGATAGAGTGTCGGAGGCGCACGAAAAATCGACTCGATCGTCCACCGCGGGCACGGGGGAGGCGTTTTCCAAAATACGCGAGCTGCCGCGCGCTCTCACCGAGCTGCTCGGAAATCCGGCATTTTTTATGCTGAACCTGGCAGGTGCCAGTGAAGGGTTGCTGATTGCCGGATTCGCTGCCTTCCTGCCGAAACTGATTGAAAATCAATTCAGCGTCAGTGCCAGCTCGGCCGCGTTGCTGATGGGTGAGTAAAGTGTCATTTCGATTAATAGTCTATCATATCGTGACTAAACAACCCTCACCATGAACGCACGCTATGTTACTTTACCGTGGCTCAGTAGAAAATAACTTTCGAGATCAATCGATTTTTTAAGGAGGTCGTAAAGCGAAATGAGTTTGATGAGAAATCGATGAAGCTTGCACCATGTATACGTTGAAATATTATCTAACTGTTTGTGCAATTAGAGAAAGATTGACCGTTCGAGAACTGGGATATTTGAAACTAAAGTTGACACTTTTTATACGTGTTCGTTGAGAATTAGCGTGCTACTTTGAATTTCTATTTTTTCAATATCTTCTAAACTAAAAATAAGATTTTGACGAAAAATACTGTGATATTAAAGACCATTTTGTTTTAAAGAATATAGCGGTGTCAAATTCATAATTTATAGTAATACTTGAAATATATATATATTTATATACAAATGCATATATTTAAATATTAATATATTTCTTTCTACTATTTGTGCATCTCTATTAGATGAGCTGATGTGTATAAATAATATAGTGTTGATAAGAAAAATAAAAAATAATATTTTCATGTTAGTAATATTTTGTATATATGTTTACCTCAACTTCGTTTCAAATTCACACTTATTATTCAGATAAAATATGAAATAAATAGAAACGTAATTTTGATTGAACATTAAACACCAAATTTATGAATGCCTTCTTGAATGCGCCACTGAAAATACGAAACTGAGCTTTACAATTTCCTTAAAACAAAGTAATGCGTAAGGCTACAGCGAGCAAAACTTCGATAGTTGTCCGTGGTATACGATTTATATTGAAACAGTGGTTTTGTCTCCCTTTCAGGATTGGTGACCGTGCCGGCGGGAGGCGGTGGTACCTTCCTCGGTGGTTATTTGATAAAACGCTTTAACTTGCCCTGCTCCGGTATTCTCAAGTTTTGCCTGTTGGCCACAGCCGCCTGTATCGCCTTTACGCTGTGCTTCGCTCTGAATTGTCCAAACCTCGATTTCGCCGGATTAACCGTACCTTATCAAAACACCACAAAGTACGCGCCAATTAGTAAAACTCTGTGGCAGCGATTGATTAATCGCTCGCGAAACTTGGCTCGTTCGTTACACCTGCTTCTCGCTCTAAATGATATCTTATTATTACAGAAAGGTCGCGTTATCTCTGGAGAACGTCTGTAATAGCGGCTGCGGCTGTGCTAAATCGCAATTCGACCCTATATGCGGCGTCGACGGAATCACGTATTATTCACCTTGTCATGCCGGTTGTTTTCGAGAAACACCGATAAACGACGTCAAAGTGAGTGATAATTTTATCCTCCGACGTATTCACGTATCTTAACGTCATACATCGTGCTTTTTAACATCTATTTTTAACGTAAAAAAATCAATTTTAGCAACACCTGATTTTGCTATGGAAAGTTAATTTTACTAGGTTGGCGCAGATGGTCCGTTATACTTGCAATTAGAGTCGAACGCGAGGATTATACCATATATATCGAAGTGACTTTTAAATTAATTGCAAATTAATTGATTATTATTCACTTCGATTTTTCTACATAGAAAGAAATTTCCCAGATCTTTTTGTTTTGAAACTTGTAACTTGTATTCTCTAACTTTTATCTAAATCAAAGCTGAAAGGGAAAAGAACGAAGTGCACTTTGGCACCGACTCGATGTATCCACGAGTCAATTTTGCACCCATTAAATGTTAAATGAAATTTTTTGTCGCAGATATATACGGACTGCAGTTGCATACACGCGCCGGCGATGAATTTAACGACCGACGACGTCGGTGACGTTGTCCCGTACGAAGCTATCAACACTACCTGCTCGAGCAGGTGCTCGCACTTGTGGCTATTCATCGTTCTGGCCTTTTGCAACATGTTCATGACTTTTCTTTGTACGATGCCGGCACTTTCGTCTACCTTACGAGTCGTGCGAGACGATCAGAGATCGTTCGCTCTGGGTATACAGTGGATTAAAGTACGAATTTTGGGCACAATACCGGCGCCTATGGTATTTGGTGCTCTCATAGACGACACATGCATCTTGTGGAACGAAACGTGCGATGGCAGAGGGGCGTGTCTCGTTTACGACAATTATTACATGAGCAGGTTAGCAAATCGGCGTAATTGTCGACAGCATTGAAGAGAAATATGCTAATTGAGTTTTTCGGATATCTTCGACTACATTTATTTCTCACTGCTCTTTTATCAGTAGCGTATCTAAAAAAAAAATATTGTAACTCTAATTCGTATAGCTCTGTACTTGTTTCAACATTGTTATTTTAATTTTACATTTAGATTTGTACATATTTTGCTTCTATCGTAATTAATGGAAAAGAAAATTTTTAGAAAGAAAAAAAATAATACAAAAAGGTACAAATAATTCTTCCGGAAAATTGAAGTTTTGCAATTTATCGTACTTTTCATTGACGCTGTCGAAGCAGGCTGGTACGTGAGACATATGTTTGTCCTACTTGAATTTCGTTTATTAATATGCTATATATTTCAGGTACATGCTCGCTCTGGCATTTATCGGAAAAGCAGCGTCGCTTCTCTTCTTCTTCCTGGCATGGTGGACGTACGTACCACCAGGTAGTCGAGGCATCGACCAGAATTCCCGGCAGCAAACCGCGGCCACTCTAATGCTAAGCGACACGTCCCAGGAAGCTCAAATAGTTCCGACCACGATATCGTAAACTCGGGTTACTTTGTCCCTTAGAAGATTATCCTCTTAGAGTGCTTTATAGGCACGACAGAAGCAGTTGCACAGTTTATCACGAGGCAAAAATGTTGCGACATTTGTTTCGCGGATGAAACGAATGTTCTGAGGAACAAAGTGATCCGAGTGTAGGATAATCCGAGTCACGAAAGCATAGAAAAATATCAAAGCGGAATAAAATGTGCGTTTATCGAAGTAACACAAGCAGGGACAGAATGAATGCATATGCGTGTGTCGAAGTAACGCGAGCGAAGTGGTTTTGCGTGATAGAGAACTTATTCTCGCGCGTTGGACGAGTGAAAACAAATTTTTGATAGCCCTACAACTGAGGTTCGGGAATCGGGGCGTTAAGATCTAGGCCGTGATATGGTAGCCCGATCGCCAAAGAGCCTACGATGACCGAAGTTGTAACTCCTTCCTCTGATTACCCTGTTACGGACATGTTGTCCACAAGCACCCGTTCGCGCAGCTCAAACTTCCGAGCCTTATAACGTGAATTTTTGTAATCCCAACGTTTACCGATTGTCAATTAAAGACCAGTTAGCTACGTTTCCTGTAATGGTGAATATCGATAGTACTTTATATATCCGCGAGAATACGCGAGAAAATACGTGTGTGTGACACGCGAATGTCGGAGACGTTTCTACCGATATATCAACAATAATGCCTTGATGGTTGTCATATGTATCGCTGGTTTGATATCGAACTTTTTGCGCCGTTTTTCACTCGTAATTATTTTTGTTAAATGGAAAATACCGATACGCCTAGAGCACGTATTATACATGTCACCAATAAAAAGCTAGCGAAGTACACGAAACGCACTGATCTTTGTCTGCTCCTGTACATGACGCTTTCGGCCTTCCCCGAAATGTTCGTTGGAACGTTCGTGATTTTCGCACTGAATGTATCAAACATCAAAAATTAAAACCAGTATTATTTCGATGAGTTTCATTATTGAAACGACGATGTGTAATGACTGAGTGATCGACGCAACGAAGACAAGCAAAACTGAAAGAGCCCAGACAACGTAATATTTATAAAATACCTTAAAAATATAGATATATTAAATATTTTGTAAATATTCAAAATGTCCGGAAAATTGAGATGAGAGAAAGATTATGAATACCGATAGTACTTGGTATATTTACATATTAACAAAATATTTATAAAGAATATTTTTCATAAATAATTAAAACATAGTTTTACTTAAGTGAAATTATATTTTTATTATTTATGAAAAGTATTCTTTGTAAATATCTTTGTACATTTATCATATAGTCCGTTCTTTTTAGCTGCATTGCCGAACTGGTGCAATAAGTTAGAATGAGACAAATATATTTTGTCTCACTCGAATTTATTACAATAGTTCAGCAATGCAGATAAAAAGAACAGACCAATTATCTCTCTTTCATACCAGAATTTCCCTATTGACATTTGAATATTTACAAAATATTTAATATCTATACTTATAAAATATTTTATAAATATATTATATGCTATCTGAGAGTCACAAATATAACATATATTATCTGTTACGACATTTGCTCCACTTACCAATTTTTCCCTCGGTGAGTCGTAAATGATGGAATACAGCCACTTCAACTTCGAAATCGTAGTTGAGTCGTAGTATGTCGAATCTGACTAGTCATCCTAAGCCATTCATTCATTTGCAAAATATTTACTTCTCGTGACTGTAACATCTCGTCGCAACGACCGCGTGAAACTTGGTTTCGGCACTCCCGACGATGCTTCGCACGCGACGAGACTGCTTTCATAAGTTGGAAACGTAACAAGTAACCGTGGAACTTCGAGTCGTCATTACGTGACGGTTACGCGATTCTTTATTCGACACTCCCGATAACCTGTTCGATGAGATTTTCGCTTTCAGAGATTTTCGCTATTTAATGACACTTTCTCATAACGAGCGCACAAGACTCACCTTCGACTTTTCCGACGACAACGATTCAGTCGCGGGATTTATATTCGATGTGTTGAAATACAAAAACGTGAGAAATACAGAGTTGCTCCTCAAATACGACATTCCGCATCCCGACGTAAGTAACGTAACTACATATCGAAGCGTTTCTTGTGATTTTTGAAATATCGATGCTATGATCGACCATATGGAGGGCTGCTTAATCATAATAATTCATTTGTTGTTATTAAGGGGATGTCATAGTTAAAAATTTTATTACTAAAATACGTTTATTTAACATGCTTAATGATATCTCTCTCTCTCTCTCTCTCTCTGTTATGTACATATTTATCATACATAATTTGTTATACATAAAGTTGATAATGTCAGTAATAAATTATAACGTTACCAACATTCTTAGTTACATCTAGATAATTTCTTTTTCATTCGAGTTCCAGTTATACAACTCTAGATCCGCTTAACCGTCGTCGACTAAGCTGTCAACGATTACAGGCGCCCTCTAGAGGAGTTAAATTCAACGGAATCGTTACAATTTTACCGATAGTCACTAATGTACCGACGAATTGTCGTAATGCATCGTACGTGTGATCGAATGTGTTCTACGGCAGATTCACATTTAGAAACACATCTCTCCCTCAAATATTAATATATAAATATCCTAAATACGACGTACATTACATTACCTTAAATTTTCGTAACGGTGTTCAACGGGTTAATGTTTCTTGAAACCCCACAGTTATCTGGCCTCTTGGTCTAGGGGTATGATTCCTGCTTTGGGTGCAGGAGGTCCCGGGTTCAAATCCCGGAGGGGCCCGATTTTTTAGAACTATTTCATCTTCCTTTTGCCTGTGTTAACGTCGTTGCACACGTCCAATTGCGAATGTTCACATATATATCACTTCTCGAATGAAAATATTCATCGTAAATACAGAGGGAAAACAAACAATTTTTGTTTCTTTTTTCAAGTCGCATCGGCTGACTCTACAGCGTTCGAATACACAAATACACACCTTCCTGCGCCCAAATGTCTAAACAACTGAAGAGAGTTAATCTTGAGACTCGATGGACAACGCTCATTGTTCGAACACCTGAGAACTCCTGAGTGCTAATTTGAATCGCGCGCCGTCACTCGCTCGCCCCGCGCGCAAGATGGCGGCGCGTCGGCTCGCCGACGCATGCGTGAGTTCCTCGACGGTCGGGCAAAAACACAGCTGGTCTACGATCCTCGAAGCGAGTTGACGGCCGAACGTTGTGTCTGATGTGATTAACGCGATTTCGTGCCGATCTGTCGAGCCGAGCTCTCCGTGGCTCGCGCGAGCGTGCGGCTACAGTCAACGTGATCCGGCATCGATCGCGGCCGTGAGGTGAATAGTGTGACAGAGGGAGAGAGAGAAAGAAAGAAAGAAAGAGAGAGAGAGAAAGAAAGAAAGAAAGGAAGGAGAGTGCTTTCGTCGCCAATGTAGCCTGGAGAACAGCGGCGGCGGTGTCACCACGAGGATTTTTCAATCTGACCGCCCCAACGCTGGATACGAAGGAGCATCGCCGCTGTCACGACCGTCTCTTTTCGGTGAGTCTCCCCTCGTGATCTTCGGTGCGATTATTCGTCTGTCGTTCCCCTCGTCGTGAACGATATCATTTTCTAACCTGGCCCGTTTTTCCCTTCCTCGCGCCTCGAATCCGACGACGGGACTCGGGTGGACGTGTACGCTACGAGATCCCGTTTTTCGAGCCCGTACCTCGAAACCATCCTACCTCTCGAAGCCGCGGAGAATCGTCGCGCGCTCCCCAAAAACTCGAGTCACGCGAGACGGGCACCGCACCGAAGGAATTCGGAATCGGGCGAAAATCACGCTAGCCACGCGTGGGGACAAACGGGGAACGCATGTACGCCGCGCGGATCTTTATGCCGAGCGGCCCATAGGCGGTGCAGCCTGAGAGCATCGGCACTCTCTCTCTCTCTCTTTCTTTCTACCCTTTAACTCCATATTTTTTGAGTCACCGAACGTCATCTGTTTCTCGCGAGTTGCGTTATTGGGAGCGAGACTTATTACGTCTCTCTCTTTCTCTCTCCCTCCCCCCCCTTCCCCCCTTCCCTCTCTCTCATCTCTGCCCGCGTATGTTTACGCTATCACCGATGCGCTTTTTTCCCGAGCAAATTATCCTCGCATCCTTTCTCCCTTATCGCCGATGCGAACACTACGGCATGTGAAACATCACGTTATCGTTGGTCTGTTATATTTTATCGAAGCGACTCGTCGGTCCGCTCGCGCTCGACCGATGCCGAGTTGTTGTTAGCGCGGAAAGAGGAACGCGAGATCCTCTCCGAGAGCCAGACTCGGTGAACTAAATATTATTCTTTCCGAGAGATGCGTCAGGTGACTCCGATCGAGCGCGATTATCGTCACGGCAAACAGACGACGCATCCGCCGAGGATGCGTCGTCGTCATTATCCTCCGATGGTGGTGAGGAAAAAAAAGGAGGAGGAGACCCAATTCCGAGGGGGTATATCAAAGAGATTCCGATACCGGGGGAGGGAATGTGGCACGAAGAATATCGAATGCTTTGTGCAAACTTTTAACGGGGATCTATATTTGCTCAACCATTGCGCGAGTCTCTCTGTTCTCTCTTCTGTCTAGACGTATGCCGCGATTCCGTCCCGTTCGCAATTCTATGGAACGAACGTCGTTATCGTTTCGTGGTTACTATTATTGCGCGCGTCTATCTATCTCGCAATTTCGACGGAGCGCCTTTGTGGAGAGCGGTAAAACGACGTCGCGTGTTGTCGGGACTAATCGACGAGAATTCAATTTTCGCGATCGACGATTTTCGCGCAAGCAGGGAAAAGAGACTCACCGCCAGGTGGCCCGGTATAACTGCCCGCGAATTACGGCAGCTCTGACTGTTGTGTCAATTAATGCACACAGCCGGCCTACATCGTCAATTAGGCTGATGCGGCGATAATCGCGACGGAGATGCGCGCGTACGTAGGAGTGAAACATGGCCTCTTCGCGATAAAAACGATTCGCGGTTTCGAGGCGAACCGATTTTTATCCCCGATAAGACGTGGTAATCAGGGAGGAGCGCAAACCTGTGGCTTCTCAGGTGCGAGTTTCTCGAACGAAAGGTAAAGTACACAAATGACGGCATCGGTCGACGTTAAACGGGGAAACGCGCGAGCGTTCGTTTACCGGGAAAAGTCGAGAGTTCCGCCGGTATTTGACGCGTGGCGTCTCTCCGATTTGGAAACCCGTTTCTTCGAAAGTCTCGGGGACTCCCCTCTGCCCCGCTAACACCCGCCATTGAAATTGAAAGTCACGTATCGTACCGTGCGTCTTTTCTTCATTTCAAGCGGCCGTTTCGTTATCGCGAGACAGTTACGTAATGTACTTCTCGAGGGCGAACGTGAATCGCGTTACATTTCATTACATCGTACGATCATTGAAGCGTTCACGACGTGCTCCTGATTTACACATCGCACTCGTATGATCTTTCGGGGAACGCGATGACACCGGGTAATGAGACGGCCGAGACGATATTGCGACGTGACCTGCGACGTGACAGAAATTAATCAATTACGGAGTGCACTCGTGTCGTAGGTCTTTCAGACGCGATCGAGTGTCGATCGGGAATTGGTTTATCGGTCAAACCGTCTTAATAATTGATACCGCTGCTGACTCGGCACACTAGACTTCCGGTATGTTAGTGGTGAATGTATATACACGCACACGTGCACACGTGGGAAAGTGCAAGTTTGCGATAATTGACGATTTCCCCGTTCTGACGGGAAACGAGGCTAAGGTCGGCCTGTTATCGAATCGGCGATAGTCCGGTTTCCGGTTACTTTCGTTTCTAATTTTCCCCCGTATCCCGTGATCTCTCATCTAATGACGCGAAGCGTAGCGGCAGATGCGAGCTCCTCGCAAGTAGACTTTTCGCGCACGACGCGGAGAAAATAAATATCGATTCAAAACTCATAAGCTTGGATTCTTCTATTTATGGTTAATCATTAAATTGATAATTTTGTAGTGATAACATTTAAAGTTTAATGATAGTTTGATAGTTTTGTAATGATAGTTTGATAGTTTTGTAGTGATAACATTTAAAGTTTAATGATAGTTTGATAGTTTTGTAGTGATAACATTTAAAGTTTAATGATAGTTTGATAGTTTTGTAATGATAGTTTGATAGTCTTGTAGTGATAACATTTAAAGTTTAATGAGTGAAAAAACACAAATTTATATTGTCATCAGGTTAAGTCTGAATCACAAGTTAACCAGAAAATGGAAACCCAGGCCATATTCTTACGTAGAAAAGCAAGTATATAATATAATAATATATAATAATAATAACTCCTTCGTCGCTATATACAAGCAAAGGAGAAGTGAATAATACAGAAAATGAAAATAACGAGACACAGGCAAAAAGGCGAGGCAACAGCAAAGAAACTTATATAACTTCTTAATCCAAAATGTATATCATATAGCCATCAGTTAATTATTGATCGTTAAATCCGCCGCAATATTAAATTAGCATCAATTCAAGACTTATATCGACTTATATCTTTACATATAAGCAAGAATATATAATCTTATATAAAAGATAAAACTTACTTATATGAAGAAATTTTACATAATTCCACTAAAAATGTCGAATTCTTATTATTCAGAAAATTTTCATGAATTGAGAGGAAAAAATATTGGATAAGAAAAACGACATCTTCAAACTAAGAATTACTGAACGTGTGTATATATGATGCTAATTTCTTATCTGCATAACTTGAATTCAAATCATCTTCACGGTTTATTTTTTTTTTTTACGCAAAACTCGTTTACAATTATAATTCAAGAAGAGAGCCACCGCTACCAGTTTTTAAGAGTTCAAACTTTCTCTGGAAAGTCCGAATTCAGGTCTAGAATTCCAAGCTTAAATTTTCTGCCAAGATATTCCTGCGAAACACGCGCGCCATTGTATTCGCTAACACACAGCACCTTGAAATGAGTTAGCGCAGGTTAGCGCGAATTTTGTGCGACGTTACGGATTCGTTTGTCAAGTTCTGTGCCCTCTTCTCAGCGTGAGAGCTCCCGAGCCCGTTACTTAAGGACCCACACGTCGCCCCGGTCTTTATTTGGTCTTGATTATGAAGTACGCACGACCGGTGTTAAGGGAATTAATCTAGCGGTTTTTTATCATTCTTTTTTATGGCGTAATTTTCATTCCAACTTGCGCCGTTCCTTTCGAGTCATTCTCTCTCTCTCTCTCTCTCTCGACGCCGCAAGCCGCAGCTGCTTAAGATGAAATATTGTAAAAATTCGCCGCGAGTCTCGAAAAGTTCGCTCTTACTTTTTAAAAGTACCGAGTGTGACGCGAAATGATTCCTAGTTAATTTCTTCCCTTATATATCTTCCGAACAGCGACGTACGTTAAAGTTTGTTATAACGTGCATCTATGGCTTTTCAAGGAGATTGTAAGACTTAGTATCGTATTTTTAGTGATGTAGCAAAAGAACTACTCATAAATTTAATATTTGTCAAGTAAAATTACGTTCCTTCATATATTTATCTCATTATTTAAATAATAAATGTTATTTAAAACGAAATTAAGGTAAACATATATACACAATATTACAAATACGAAAATATTATTATTTTTTTGTTAATGCATCAGTTGAATAAATGTGCTCAGATAATAGAAAGGAATATATAAGTTTAAATATATGCATATATGCATAAGTATTTCGAATATCACTACCTTGGGAAAAAAGAATTCAAGTTTATTTGTAGGACATAAAGTTTATTTTACAGAGAAATAAAGTCTATTTCACAGAAATCGTTTTTTTCTGTGTGAAATCAATTTTATATATCCCACAAATAAATTTTTGATTACTATTTTCTCGGTGTATAAGTTATGAATTTTACATCGCTGTGTTTTCGGAAAGTGGTCAATAATCCTGATATATATGTACAATGTCTGCATATTATATATAATCCTTAATATCATTATACTTCATCAAAATCTTATTTTTAATTTAAAAAATATTAAGAATAGAAATTAAAAATAAAATTAAAAATAAAGGAATTAAAAATAGCATACTAATCTCAAGGAAGACGTTTAAAAAGTGTAAAATTTAGTTGCAAATATCTTAGCTCTCGAATGGTCAATCTTTTTTTAATTGCACGAGTAGTTCGTTAATATTTTAATATATGCAAGTTTCATCAAATTCCTGTCCAATTCATTTCCCCTTACAACCTCTTTAACGTCCACGTGAGAATCAAAAGATACTGAGCAGGAACGAGTGACCCAGAGTGCCGGATTAGAGCGTCGCAAGACCCAGTGCCAAGTAAAGGTTAATTTGCAGGCAGAGCTGATTATATGAATATATTTGTATCTTCAGAAGACACACGCGAGAAGCGTTCTGTATAAGTTTGACGGACCGGTACGCGTAGTTTCGCCTGGCACCAAGGGACGTCACGACCAGAGAATTAGCATTATAACAGCATTATACAGAACGCCTTGGACACCATCCAAAGGCATTGAAATCCTTTAATAGAGCGCATATCGGGCGTCGAA